TGGAGTGGCCTTTGGCTGGACTTGTATAGTCATGGACAGAGCCATTTTTCCTGTGACACAGAGACTGCATTTAGGGGGAGGCAATGGCTTGGAGCCAAGAGAGTGCAGTGATATTATGTGAAGGAGTGCGTGAACAGAGACAACGGGTGAGGAGGATGGTGGTGCCCTCCGTCTTCAGGGAAGAAGAAGACCTCTGTTTGGGAGACCCCTCGGCCCCAGGGGGTGAATTTGGGGGGAACAGGTGTCCCGAAAGTGAGAGACTGTGCTTTTTTTGGAACTGGGCAAAGCATCCTTAAAAGGGGAACCCTAGAAGCAGCTCTGGTCTATGCGCAGTGGTGAGAGTACTGTACATGGAAGGAAGATGTCACAATGGCAAATGTTCTCTGGGCGGTGCCATGTGTGACATTGAAACACAAGATGTCTCAACTGTGTTTCCAGGGGAAGCCTATGGTACAAGAAGGACTCCTCTCTTCTTGATGAACTGAGAATTGATTATCTAAAGGGTGGTGATGGACTGAGAGTGGGTGATCTGAGGGGTGGTAACTGAATTGAGAATCCAAGGTTTTGTACTACTGTGATGTATTGGAAATTTGGTGGGGGGAGGAGGAATGTTTTTGGAAGGTTTTCATTCTGAGTCCTGAATGTGTTTCTTTTAATATATAGTTGTAGGTTAATAAAGTTTTTGTTTCTTTATTCCTAAATTGGAGCCTGCTTTGCTCTATTTCTGGTCACATCTCACAGCAGACACCAGGGAGCATATATTTTCATGGGGGCATTGGCATTGTGCCAGCTTCAAACCATGACAGTGAGTTACCGTTGTTGAAGGAAATCAGGTTTGACAAGCAGGACTTTTCCCTCAAGCCCTCCTGGCTGTGACCAATGACTATGTTGTCCTCCAGGTGTTTGTCAACACCCCCCAGAATAATCTTTTTGATGATTTTACTGGGCACTGATTTGAAACGGACAGGCCTGTAATTTCCAGGGTCCTTCTTGCCCTTCTTGAAAATTGGGACAATGTTCACCAGCTTCAAGACAGCTCTGACCTCTCCAGATTCCCAAGACTGCTCAAAAATCATCAAGAGAGGTTTTGCAATGACATCAGCCATCTCTTTGAGAATTCTTGGCTGAATCTGATCAGGCCCATAGGTTTGTATGGATCAAACTGGAGAAGTAGATCCTGCACAAGTTCAGGTTCAACTGGGAGTTGATCATTCTCACAGTCATGGACCTCCAGCTCAGGGCACTGAGACCCCCTTGATCTGTCATACAGGTTGAAGACAGAGGCAAAGAATGTGTTAAACAACTCTGCCTTGTCCATGTCCCTGTTTGTGAGATGACCATCCTCATCCTGGAAAGGGCTGATGTTATTTCTATACTGCCTATTGCCATTAACATATTTTAAAAACCTCTTTTTATTGTCCCCCCACAATTATTTTTGTTTAGTCTAGAGAAGAGAAGACTGAGATGGGATGCCATCAATGCATATAAATATCTCAAATGTGGGTTCCAAGAGGATGGTGCCAGACTATTCAGTGGTGCTTAGCAACAAAATGAGGAGCAAGGGCCATAAACTAAAACACATGAAGTTGCACCTCAGCATGAGGAAGAATTTTTTTACGTTGAGGGTGGCAGAGCACTGGAACAGGCTGTCCAGAGAGGTAATGGATTATAGGACTTCTCTGTTCTTTAAAGAAAAAAAATCAAGACAAAATTGGTCTCCAAGTCTTCTCCCAGAGGACAGATGCTGTGCCTGAGTGCTCTGCAATGGGTGTTAAAGCCCCTTTTCCTCTGCTTCCTGAGAAATCAGGGAGTGGGAAAAAGCCAAGAGCAACGGGCACAACCCTAAGCCTTATATTACTGATGGGCTTTACCACTGTGTTGGGTTTTCATGGCCAAGCTTTGGTAGTAGGAGGGTGTGTTGGTTTATTACAGCCTGGTTTTTGGTAGCAGGGGGGCCACGGAGGTGGCTTCTGTGAGAAGCTGCTAGAAGTTTCCTCCATGTCCAGCAGAGCCAATCTGTAGCTGCTTCAAATACAAGGTTGCACCTATTAGAAATGGTGGTAATGCCTCTGTGATAACATGTTTAAGAAGAAGAAGGAAAAAAAAAAAGGAAAAAAGTTATTGTGCAGTTGTAATTGCAACCAGAGAAGAGCAGGGTGAGAATATGTGAGAGGAACAGCTCTGCAGACACCAAGGTCAGTGGAGAAGGAGTGGGAGGAGGTGCTCCAGGCACTGGATCTAGGATTCCTCTGCAGCCTGCGGTGAAGACCACGGTAAAGCAGCTGTCCTCCTGCAGCCCATGGATGTCCGTCCACAGGGATGCAAACATCCACCTGCAGCCCATGGAGGAGGCCTGTGCTGGAGCAGAGGGATACCTGAGAGGAGGCTGTGAGCCTGTGGGAGACCTGTGGAGAGAGGGGTCCACACTGGAGCATCCTGTCCTTGAAGGACTGCACCCTGTGGAAGGATGACCCACGTGGCAGCAGTTTGAGGAGGACTATTGCCAGTGGGATGGACTCATGTTGCAGCAGTTCTCAGAGATCTGTTGCTTGTGAGATGGACTCACGTTGGAGAAGTTTGCAGAGAACTGTGTCTCATGGGAGGGACCCCATGCCTGGAGCAGGGGAACAATTCCTTTCCCTGAGCAGAGGGAGAAACAATGGGTGATGAACTAACCATAACCCCCATTCCCTGTCTCCTTGCACTGCTGGGGTAGGAGATAGAGCTGGGAAGGAGAGAGGGATGAAGGAAAGGTGTGTTTAAGGGTTTATTTTACTTCTCATTACATTGCTCTGATTTTGTTAGGAATAAATTCAATTAATATTTCTAATTTGAGCCTGTTTTACCCATGACAGTATTCGACGAGTGATCTCTCCCTGTCCTTATCTCAGCTCATTAATCTGTCATTATATTTTCTCTTTCCTGCCCTGCTATAGAGGGGAGTGAGAGAGTAGCTTGGTGGGTGCCTGGCATCCAGCCAGAATCAACCCACTGCAACCATCTTAATCAAGTTCAGCTGCTCATAATTCTATCAAGCACCATTGCTACTAATGAAGCTGACCCAACACAGGGTGCCATCACCATGCAAATCTCCTGGGCTCGAATCCACAAAGCAGAAAATAAATTTTCTAGACAAGTCCAGTGCACCCAGCAATCATTTTGCTGCTGAGTACACAGAAAAGCTGACGCTCCTGTTTGTTTCTACTGATACTCCACGTGCAGAATAAAAACCACAATCGCAGACAACCAGATGAAAATTCAAATAATACTGAACCACAGCATCACAACCTAAGCTGTACCAGGGTAGGTTTAAGTTGGACATTAGGAAGAAGTTCTTCACAGAAAGGGTGTTTGGGTGTTAGAATGGGCTGCCCAGGGAGGTGGTGGGGTCACTGTCCCTGGAGGTGTTTAAGAAAAGACTGGATGTGGCACTTAGTGCCATGGTCTAGTTGACAAGGTAGTGTTAGGTCATAGGTTGGACTTGATGACCTTGGAGATCTTTTTCAACCTAGTTAATTCTGTGATTCTGTGTTTTAATAAGCAGTGTCAGTAGACGACAAATAAGGAGACCACCAAGTCATCTTCATCATTTGGGGAGGGATGCAACAGCATGGCATTTCTGCGTACCAGCCTCCTTACTCTCTGGGCATTTCCTCGTCCAGGAGGCATCTTGCTTTCACCTTCCAGCAGCTGCCTTTTCCTTTGGGATGCTCTATCACAGAGCAACCCGGGTATCCTGGAGCAACCTGGGGACCCCTGGGCAAACTCTCCCCCTGGAATATGCCACCCATCCCTCAATGATGTGGTGCCACTTACACCAACCATGGGACAGAGTTGCTCTTGTACACTGCACACCTGGAAACACTGGACAGCAAATTCAGCTAGTTAGAAGCCAGGCTCAAAACCTCTATTTTTGGCTTTTTCTATTTTTCCCCTCTTCTTTTTTCCTCCTTTTTTCCATGCATTGCTTGTCTTCTCTTTACCAGTCACCAAAGAAGAACATTAACTTCCATTTCTCCCTTGCCCTGTATGTTATAAGGCCCGACTGTAACAGGCCTGGATTAAAATGTATAATTTTAGCTATGACAGTAACTACAATAAAGCATTCCTTCAATAGAAAAAAAAAATTATTACATTAAAAAAAGGGTTATAGTGGCTGAGGGATAATGGTGACTTGAAAAGCAAGGGCCACAGAATTCCCTGTTTCTTAGAGCTCCCAGATCAGAGGACATGATTCTCAATCCATCGAGTAGATTACTGGCAAGCTGATGATGGCTATGTTACTTCTGCAGTGGCATTTGGGCTCCTTTAAAATAGTCCTGCTTCAGAATCCTCACATGAACCATTAGTAAGCTTTTGGGAAGGCGTTGCTTTCCTCATCTCTGAGCTGCTTGCAATTGTTCATTCAATGATACAATAAAATAAGAAGAAATCACAAATAATAAAGAAAAAAAAAAACCCAGTGCAAATAAGAAAGTCATCCCGCTCTCCAATCCACTTTCGAAGGGGTGGCAAGTAAGTGGAGGGGCACACGGAAAGTCAAAGACAGGATGGGAACCTAGCACAAGACCCTCTGGACAAAAGCCATCACTTATGAGTGTCTGGTATAGTGTGTATCTAGCTTTGTCCTCCCAAGACATCTGCTGCCTGCTGTTTCCTGCCACTTGGCCAGGGCAAGGCAGGAGGACAGCATAAAAACAATAATAGCCCCCACTTGGATTAGTTGTTTGGGTTTTTTCTTTTCCAAATTCTCTGTCTTCTTTTGAAAGTCAAACAATAACCTGGTGGGCATGTTGCTGCTTCTTGAGCAATGAGTTCAGAAAAAGAAACCTGACGCAGCTGAAAAAGAAACATACTTCTCCATCGCCATCCCATGAATGTATTCTCAAGCATGCTGGGGGTTGCTCTTCTGGGGAATTTAAATCAGAAAAGCTTTTGCCAGATCCCGTCAAGGTGCATGTCTTCTTCCTGTTCCTTCCCACCCCACCTTGTCCTGCCCCTCAGGCTGTCAGTTTTTGGATGGTCTTGTTGTAGTACTGAGTGATGGTGGGCATCAGGGGGTTCCAGTTGTTGGCATGCAGCTCAATGACTTCCAGCAGCAGGGACCGTGTCAGCATGGACTCAGAGGGACACAGCATCTTGTCACGTGCTATCGCCAGCAGCTCTGTCATCATCTCGGGCAGCTGCTCCTCCAGTAGCCGGCCGCTGCTCTGCAGCTGTCAGGAGAAGAAGGGGTCAACCATGGCTTATTGATCCTTGTGTGTCCCAAGCTGAGACATTCTATGATTCTATCATTCTATAATATTCAGACACTCCACTGGCTTTTACAAACATGCTCCATCCCTCCAATTCTTCCCTGCTTGGTGTGGCAGAGCCACCAGGCAAGGTTATAAGGCATTGTGACTTTTGAAAACCAAATCCACGTGGCAGCAAGCTCCAAGAGCATGAAGGGCAAGGTTTTGAAAAGCATTTGTGCTGGGCTGCTAGAGAAGCAAATGGTCCAGCTACTGCTGATATAAAAGGAAGATTGCTTTTGAAAAAAAAAATAATCCCACCTAAAAATCATGCTATTGTCAAAACAAATTGCAGGCTGTGATGTGTTTTTCTTGCCTTCTACCTGGCCCTTCATTTACTTGCTGATTCACAGCTCACAGTAACTCCCAGTCATTAATTGTAATAAGCAGAGCCCTACTGTATGCATAACAAATCCCGCCCTGACAAGATCTGCATTTATACCTGTCATGCTACTTCACTGAGGACAGCCAAGAGGTTTTTCTTAAACAATTACTCCTTGGAGAGCCTCCATGGAGCAGCATAAGCCTTAGGTGGTTCCACAGAGAAGGTCCAAGCTGGGACTGGACGGCAGTGAGTCCACCATCATGGAAGATTAGTGGTTCTTGAATGCAGAGTTCCTCAAAGTCCTCACCTTAAAAATTCAAACCTTTCTCCTCAGTTGCTTGTCACTTTGCTGAATTTCAACCATTTGGGCTATAATTTCAATCACTCTCTGCAAGGAAAGCATCCATCCTCACAGGCAAATCAATTCCCAAAAAAGATACTAATGAAACTCTTCTATATTTATGCCGGCATTTTCCTGCAAATCTGCTGCTGAGCTAAACAAACTTGTCCGTGTGACCCATGGGGCAGTTTTTTCTCCAATACAGGTGTTTTTGTGCTTAAAAAATAAGTGCAGGGTGAGATTCGAAGGAACCAGGATGACATAATTTTGTGATGGGACTCTGGCTACCAAACCTTTTGCATCCATGTACATGTATCACAAGTCCAGTGATAGAATCTCAAGGGCCATCTCTTATCTCACAGTAGTGTCTTTTATCTACTCCGCTCTCATGAGACCCCAACTGGAGTACTGCGTCCAGCTCTGAGGTCCTCAGGACAGGAAAGACATGGTCTTGTTAAAGAAGGTCCAGAGGATGCCACAAAAGTGGTCAGAGGACTGGAGCACCTCTCCTAAGAGGACAGGCTGAGAGAGTTGAGGTTGTTCAGCCTGGAGAAGAGAAAGCACCAGGGAGACCTTAGAGCACTTTCCATTATCTAAAGGGGATACAGGAGAGCTGGAGAGGGACTTTGAACAAGGGCATGTAGAGATAGGACAAGGGGCAATGGCTTCAAGTTGACAGAGGGCAGGTTTAGATTAGATATTGGGAAAAAATTATTTCCTGTGAAGGTGGTGAGGCACTGGCACAGGTTGCCCAGAGAAGCTGTGGACAAGCTATTCCTGGAAACAGGTTCAGGTTTTAAGGTCAGGTTGGACAGAACTCTGAGCAATCTGATCTATTTGAAGATGTCCCTGCCCATGGTAGGGGGTTGGATTAGATGCTCTTTAAAGGTCCTTTCCAACCTTCCAACCCAAACCATTTGGTGATTCCATAATGCAAAGGGGCAACACAGCTGTTTGGGTTTGGAAACATCTAATAGCTGCTTGACATGTATGTGGCCAAGGACAGAAGCAGCAGAGCAGTGAGGACTGGGGCAGGTGGTGCAGGTGCTTCCCTACCTCCATGGAGCAGCAAAGCACAGCATCTTCCTTCACATCCTGAGATTGTAACAACTGCAAAAGAGAAGAGAGAGGTGGTGAGAAATGCATGACCTCTTCTTCCTCTCTTACAACCTTCCTTTCATCTCTTCATCCAGCTTGACTTTTGCCAGTTCCAGGAGGAAAGGACATAAAATCAGAAAAGGAAGGAGGAAAGATATAATCAACACAAAAAATTAACAGTGACAAAATGCAGGGTAAAGGGTATCACCAGCCTACCCACTGCTGAGAGCAAGCAAGCAGGACAGAATGTAGACTTTAGATTAACAGCTTTCAAAATCAAATTATTTAGGTGTAGTAGGTTGACCTTGGCTGGGTGCCAGGTGCCCATTCAGTCGCTCTATCACTCCCTTTCCCACTGGGACAGGGGAGAGAATAAAATGGAGAACAACCAGCAGGGTAAGATAAGGCAGTTTTCTTACAGTAAAAGAAAGAAATGAGTGGAGATCTGTGCATGCAAGAGCTAAAGAGGAAAAAAAGTCAGTCTCTACTTTGGCATGCATAACAGTTCCTCCAGAAGGCAAACACTGAAAACTCATGAATGCTCCCCCTTCCTCCTCTCTCCCTTAGCTTATATATCTGAGCTGATGTCATATGGTTTGTAATATCCCTTTGGCTAATTTGGGTCAGCTGGCCTGGTTGTGTCCCCTCCCAGGATCTTGCCCATTCCCACCCCCTTTGATGGGAGAAGGAATGTCAGAGGGACAGCATTGCTCAGCAGTAGCCAAAACACTGGTTATCAACACTCGTCCAGCTACCAGTGCAAAGCACAGTGCTGTGAACTTTACCTCCGTCAGACCCAATACATTACGTTACATAGCTTTTTTAATTCCACAACAGGCAATGAGAAAACACACTAGTTTCACATACACAGTGACTAAATGCAGCCATCAGACAACAGAATTTGTTATTTGGAAGGGAAGCACTCTGCCCCAGAGGCATTCCCCCCTCACTGAACCTTTTCATCCCTGTGGGGCCACTTAGACACAAAATTACCAGATGGCAAAGCATTACATCCAATACACTGTAACACGGCTCCCTCTAGACAGATTCTATAGTGATGCAAGTGCAATGAGTGCCAACAAAACTATGGTGTCTTAAGTGTAGTGACTCCAATCCTACTCTGCTGTCCATTAACTTTGCGTTATAAACATGAGCTTGTAAGCACAAGCAACTTTCAATAGAGACCTGAAATGTTGTTGGGCATGGCATGGGATGGCGAAGGAAGATGCTCACCTAGTGGTTCAGGCTCAGGGTTGTCATAGTCACAGGAAAAAGGGTGCCAATACGGGTGCAACCAAACTGTATTCTAGGGACATCTACATAATTTATGATAAACTGTTAATGATTGGTTGTTCACAGTAGCTGCCCAGGGCACACCCAATCCCTCAGGCTACAATCTGGATGAGGCAAACCCTGCCAGATGGGGTAGTGTTTCTTTATCTTCACAAATGACCCAGCAGTGATAACTCCTCCAGGGGAGCACCAACACAGTTACACCCATCCTGAAGGCACCATCTCTGCTAATGGGCCATAATGGCTCAGCAGCCAGCTGCAATGCCCATCAAAGACTCCCCAAAATATCCTATGACTCACAGGATTACATCATTCCATTGCAAAACTCCCTGCCCTGGGGGAGGTACTAAGCATTCCTCCCTGGACTTGAGGGTATATAATCTGGGGGTTTGAGGACTGGACACCACCACCACTGGACAGCTCCAGAGGACCTGAATTTCCACTGGAGGACCAGACCTTCCACAGGACCACTGCATTTGGCAAGACTGCGACCATCACTTCAACAGCACTGCAACCACCACTTAATCAGACTGCAATCACCACCCTGACCAACAGGGTGCCAGGTTGTACTCTGACTTTGTGTTTTTAAGCCAGTTTTTCTGTATCATTGCATTCATTGTAATCTTTCTATAAATTTTAACACTGACCTGAAATCTCTCTCAAGGTATTTGTGTGGGGTTCATTTCTCACACTGGATTACTTGCAAACAAGCACAAGGGCGTACAGTGAGGGTCAATGCCTCTTCCTGACAATGGCAAAGCATAGGAGCTAAGCATCTCACCCCACGAACCTTGAAACCATTAGCGGGGACCCTGAAAAAGGGATCAGAAATACCTATTTTCCACTGTTTTTACCTTTATAACTTTGTTACACACACAAAGATCCTGTTTCAGGTATTTTGCTAAAAACACAATTGTTCTAGTAGATAAAATACTGACACAGGAATTGAGAGACACAGACCATGCTCTGCAAGCAAAGCCATTTTATTACACTAGATCACCAAAATTTATACGTCACTACATTTTGTACAAAACTTTCCATCCAGACCCCTTTGCCCCTGTTCCGTAGCATCACAATCTTCTTGTTTATCATTATTGCGCCAGTAACGTCCTTGTTACATTCTTTCACCAGCAATGTCCTTGTTACATCTTCCCTCGTGAGAGCGGTCAGCGTCAGAGTGGTCAGAGTGACCAGACATGATGTCTTCACTTCTGTTCTTGCCTTGAGTTTATCTCTCCCACGACTTCCACTGTATCAGGGCCAAAAGGTTGGTGGCACTACCCAGCTCAGCTTCTATAGCTGTCTGCTCCTTCACATCTCCCCCTTTTTTGTTTTTTATGGAAAGAGTTTGTGTACTTTGATGTTAAAAGAGTTTGCACTTGTAAGGCCATTATCTTATTAAGACTATTACTGGTCATTTGCTAGATACAGGATAAGATACATAGAATACAGATCACAATCAATAAAGACATATCAAATGCAATCATGTCACTGATAAAGAGACTCGCAGTATAGGAGAACAAAAGGATAATATCCAAGGCCTCCTAGGAAGTGGAAATAAATGACTACTGTTCTAAAGTTCTGTCTTAGGGTGGGGTTGTGTATTCTATTGCCATCTGTTAGAGGTGGGGCAGTTATCTTCTGTTAATTGGGCCACCTGTTAAAACCAGGTGGGGCAGTTTTCCTTTATGTCTTCCACAACCAATCCTCCCTCTGGGGAGATATCTTCTGTTAATGGTCCATTGAGTCTCACTGCATGACTGATAAAATTACATCATCCCATTGTGAGAAGCCCCGCCCAGAGGGAGGAGCCAAGCATTCCTACCTGGATATAATCTGAGGTTTGCAACACCACAGTCAGCCTTTTCCACTGGATTCCCCGAGGAAGACCAGGCCCATCTACACTACCACCAGACCTTCAGAGGAAAACTCCACCCTTCTACAGGATCACTGCTTCAACAGAACCACATCTGTCACTCCAGGAGGACTGCAGCCACCATTTAATGGGACTGCTACCAACAACCTGACCAACAGGGTGTCAGGTTGTATTCTGACTCTGTCAGTGTTGTTTTGTATTACTGTATTTTTGTTTTATTTTTATTGTTTCAGTAATAAAGAACTGTTATTCCTATCCCCATATCTTTGCCTGAGAGCCCCTTAATTTCAAGATTATAATAATTCAGAGAGAGGGAGTTTACATTTTCCATTTCAGGGGCAGCTCCTGCCTTCCTTAGCAGAGACCTGTCTTTTCAAACCAAGACAAGTTCATATGGTTGGAGCTCAGGAGCCATGCTGTTTAGGCAGGAGGAAGTCCATTAGATGGAAATATTGACTGTGACATTACTGAATGGCTTTCTGGAAGCATGGAACAGGGAATAACTGAAAAAGGTCAATAGGAACACAATAGCATGATGGTGAGTGCAGTAGGACACAAGGCCTCTTTTGGCAGGCTGCCTCCATAAGGCTCCAGACACAGCCATGTCCTAGCAGTCCTACCCCTGCTCCTGCCTTGGCCACAAGGGTTGGCTGGTAATTAGGTAATTTTTCTTCTCTCTGGGCCTCATTTTCTTGGAGACGATTGATGTTTGTCCAGACGAGCAGAGAACTACTTTGAACCTTTTGGTGATAAAACACATGCATACCTTCTCCCTAGGTTAGTAAATCAGCTATGCCTTGCCAGCGTACATTCAATCAGGGATCTTTACGTAGAAACTTTTAGAAATTGGTTCTGCACATGCAAATCTTCAAAATGGTATCGCTCTGCCAGGGATCAAATTTGATGATTTGCTTTCAAAATTTTTAGTGTAAATATTGCATTATCTAAACATTCTTAAGGAGCCATATTCCCCCTCTTTGTGTTTTCAATATGTGTCTCTTGTTATGAACATGAAGGCAACATAAAAGAAAACAATACAATACAATAAACTTACACTAAGCAGAAATAAGTCAGATAATATCCATAATTAGTAGCACACGAGAGATAGGATGGTGATTTAAAACAATACATCATCAATTCCCTAAATACTGTACCATCACCCAGAGTGCAGCAGCTGGCAAGCCTCGTTTCACAGTGAGGACCTGGAGAACTATTCCCGGGTAAGGTCTCCAAGGTCACTTCAAAAGGGGGTCCAGCTGTTATAAGTCCAAATTGGCAAGTCAAAGTGACCTGAGTACAGTTTTGGTGCAGAAAACCGCTGGGTTTGTTGGCATACTTCCTGACCAGGTAGGGCCAGAGCTTGGCCAGAGCCCAGGCTTTAACTGGAAGAGTCTCCCTAACATATTCTACAAACAAGCCTCACAATAATACAGTTAGGAAAGTTTCTTAAAATGATACATGTTATCGATTCAGGGTGACCCCAATGTAGGGGATAATGTGCTCTGACTCCATGATTCAGAAGGCTGAGCAATTGCTTTAATAAGCTAGGTTATATTACACTAATACTATATTAAAAAGATACTATACTAAAGAGATACTAAAGAAAAACCCGTGACTGTCTCCAGACAGTCATGACGCAGCTTTGATCCAATTGGCCAATCAATCCAAACAACCATCACCAGAATCCAATTAACAAATCACTTTCAGTAAACAATCTCCATAACACATTCCACATGTGCCAAAGAGATAAGAGTTGTTTTCTCTTCTGTGAGCTTTTCACTGCCTTCCCCAGGAAAAATCCTGGGAGAGAGAATGATGTCTCTCTCTGTTCAGAGAATGTGAA